AAGTTAAAGGACTTGTATTTTATATCTAATAGAGAGTATCAATCAAGTATTATGATAGAACAAAATCATTGTCAGATATATGAACTCCCAAATGTTTATCTCCTACATATCCTTCCACAGGAAGACACTGAAAAATAATCTTCAACAGAACAGAGGAAAAAACTAAAAATAAATAAATAAATAAATAAATAAATAAATAAATAACAAGCAAAAAATCCCCCCTCCCCAAATCCAACAAACAAGCTAGGAACCACCAAGTCCAGAAAAAGGGAGGTGAAAGGGATTTTCAAGATGCTGGCAAAGGAACTCCCAGCATAATAGAAGATGGGACGGGCAGCCTGTCCAGACAGGAACTAGCCCTCAGGGAACAGCAAGGGTGCTGTCTCCAGCAGGACCTAAGGAATTGAATACTGATCTGGCAGGTTTTGATTGATTTGTAAATTGTGTTGCAAGGCATTGTAAAGAGCTGCCAGAGTGGACTGGAAATGAAACATAAGAAAAAAAATGAGACTATCATCAATTCCTGGAAATAGAAGTTTGTACAAGGAAGTAAACATAATAATACTTCATTAGACTCAGCAGATGAGCAATAGCTACATAATTTTAATAATGAAATGTTTGCATTTTGGATTTAAATTAGAAAGAGGGAAGAAGTGACAGAGAGGGAGAGAGGAAGGGAGAGAGGGAGGGAGTGGGGAGAGAGAGAGAGAGAGAGAGAGAGAGAGAGAGAGAGAGAATATGATATTGGCAGTCATCAAAGAAAGGGAAGAAAGTGAGTGTTACCACATTGGAAAAGTAATAAATAACTTTAAAATAAGATGACTTGAGAGAGAGTGATGCATACATCGTATTTAGGGTTCTGAAAGTAAATATTAAAGAAAATGTTAAAACTGCAAACTGGACAAGAAGGATGGCAAAGGCTAAGAGAACATGGAACTGCTTTTTTGGTTATGAGTCTTTTAGCATTTCAAAAAGCTAAAGAAATTGTAAATGTAATACTTCAATTAAAATAATTAATTAAGGGGCCTCCCTGGTGGGACAAGGGGTTAAGCACAGCATTATGAAGCAATCCACAGCCTCTGCAGTATGAGTTCCATCCCTGCCCACCAAAGAGCAACCCACATGGATCAGCAGACCTCTCCTGTCTCGCCCTCTGCTCCCCTCAGCAGTGTATTTTGGTCAGTCTGACTGTTCTGTTTCCCACTCTGTCTCTGGTGAATCCTCTCCCCCTCACCTCTGGCCTGTACCCCAGCTCTTGTATGCATAAATAAATAAATCTTTAAAAAAAAAAAAGAATTAATTGAGACATGTGGAGGAGACACTTTAAAGAGTCATTTGGGGAGGCAGCTCCTGGTCCTCGACAGAGACAATAGCAATCTTTACCTCTACCTCATGTTGGATTATGTGATATATTTTGAAATTTGAGTCTCTCCTGTCCCAGCTCCCGAGGGCCTGCCTAATTCCTTTCTGGTTTCTCCTCAGAAGGTGCTGAGGCTTGTGGCAAGTCTTTGGGGCTCAGCTGTCTTGCTTTGTGTCAAGGCTGTTTGACTGGATGTGTGTCTGCGAGGGGGTGGATAATTTTTTGAGTTTTATTGGAAAAATATTATTTGAAATCATTTCTTCTCTCCCTCCCATCTCTCTTCCCACACCAATTCTATTAAAAATATGTCAAACTAAAAAAAAAGAATTAATGCAATAATTTAGGGAAGGTTCTGTGTGTAGTTGATTCTTCCTAACTTCAAATCAATTCCAGCTAAAAGAAAATGTGGTAAAATTTAGCAATTACTCCTAGAAATTAGATATAAATGTACATTGGGTAATTAAAAATAAACACTAGAGGGCCTCCCTGGTGGCACAAGGGGTTAAGACTCATCTTATCTTCATCTACAGCCACTGCAGCCCCGGTTCAATCCCTGACCAGGGAGCTACCCAGATGGCACAGCAGACCTCTCCTGTCTCACCCGCTGCTCCTCTTAGCAGTGTATTTCAGTCAATCTGCCTGTTCTGTTTCCCACTCTGTCTCTGGTGAATCCCTTTACCGCTCCCCTCCCCCCACCTCTGGCCTATACCCCAGGTCTTGTATGCACAAATAAATAAATCTTTCAAAAAAATAGACACTAGAAATCCTAGGGAAATCAATTCACAATGTTAAGAGCCACCATCTACTTTCCATACATTGTAGCACAATGCATTAAAATGATCAAAATCTTTGTGTAAAAGATTGCCTATTAGAATAGATGGGATCCTAGAAACCCTTTCCTATTTTATCATTTTTTTAATTCTTTAAACAATCTTACTTTGAAGAAATAGCTACTGTCTTGAATGAAATGTGCATTACATTTTCTTTCACAGCCAGATATTTTATGAGGAACCAAGAGGTTGGTTATACAACAGTACAACTGAGGGACTGAGTGAAGGTTGTACAAGTCACTATTTTCTTCATTTTATTAGTCTGTTCTCTCTTACATAACCTTAATATTGACCTGATAAGATAAAAGTTGCCCCATATATTAGGATCCTATTTCAGTGATCTGAGAATCTGATCTTTGTATTTTAAGTTGAGTATACTTGGGTTCTTCGCTCACTGTGCGAAGCATGTCAACAAAAAGACATCACTCTTTACTTGAAAATAGTCCCCTTGCTACCTCATTCCAAATCAGGAACTTGTTGCCATTACTAGAAATGAAGTGCTACATACACTGTCCACTTCCAGGCCCTGGAGTTCAGAAGGGGATCTTGCAATCCGTGAAAAGATGACATGTGCTACTCTGCCAATTGGAGAAATTACCCTTGACGGAGAATGGCTTTGAAGTTGCTGTGGGAAGTCAATGAAAAGCATAAGAAACAGCCACATGAAAGGTTCGTTTCTTCATCAGGTCTGGGCTCACAGAGAAGATGATTGCATGAGATTACTCATTTTCTCTCCTGTGAGAACAGATTGTGGAGTTCTATGACATGCTCTGCTCAGCATGTGTCTTTTTCCCAGGTCACCAAATTTTGCAGGATGTTAAATAAAGTCTGCTTTTATGAGCACATAACAGCTCTTCTGGGGCTTTACTCAGAAATAAGACCGGTTAAAAGGACTTGCTTTCAGAAAACTTGCATAGTTTAATCCCCTGGAGCATTGAGAGCAAATTGAATTAGGAGCTCAATTAAGTGACTGCTGATATGCTGACAAATGAAGCAGAGACCAAGACACAGAAAGGGCTCTGGGGGAAGTTTGTTTTTTGGATGCCAAAAACCTGCCCTTTTATGGAAGTTAAATGGTTCTTAGGGAAATAAGTAAAATTCCAAATTTGGGGCATTTGTGGTCTGAAATAGATGAAAGGCCTGATTTATACTTAGGGCACATCTGATGTGGAAGCAATATCTGCTCTTCTAATCTGGAAAGATTGATTTAAAAATTTGAGACTCCATTGGGGAACAGAGTCCTAGTGTTAGGGGGAAAGGATGTCCTGAGATAATCTCATACAGGCTTTGTGGACTCCACCCCCACTCCAGACTAAAGCCATCAGGACATTGGGAAAGACAAATCCCATCACCACCAAGGGGAGGGTGGCTGGGACCTGAGGGTGGAGTTGGGCAGCCAGGTTGGATATAAAAACCAAACACGTGGGCCTTGCTCGCTCTCTGGCTCGCGATCGCTCGCCTCCTGGCTTCACCGCTCCTGGCTGGCGGCCAACTCTGAGAGCGCCATTTTGGGATTCCTGATCGGCGGATCGGGTAGGACGCATTTAAAACTTTGTCTCCCACTTTTCTCCCAGAGCTGTACATTTCCTCATTTCCCTTTCCGTTGTAAATAAACCTTTTATTAACCTTTCACGTGTGCCTGCAGTAGAGCATTGATAAGTCCTTTTAAGCGCGCGGGTGAGGACCCACAGTCAGGCACCCCGTTTTGTATCGGGGTTGCTCTACAACACTAGTTGTCTTGTTGCGCGTGGCAGCCTGCACGTTTAGCAACACGGAGTCAATCATGTCTGAATTTTCCTCTCAAGGACACTGTGATTCATGCTTGGATTTTAGGTCCCAGCTTATTTATCTACCTTCCCCAAACACCTCTTGTGCATTCTTCCTTGCATTCTGCTTTCTTCTGAAATTTATTTCCTGTAGTAGACGTTGACCTTAAATTAAGTTTTTTCTTGTTTTCAGATTGTTTTGGACATCTTATTCTTGCCTGTATAATGAGATTGTGTGCTTTTTGGATGGCGAGACAGATGCCTGATTTTTCTTTTAATTTTGTGATACTGTTGAATACACTTGGCACAGGGCAAGTGTGTAGTAGACAGGGTTCCATATAAGTTGTTTTCTAAATTGAAACAGTTCTGAGACTAAAAGGAATGATATTAGTTGTTATGCTGAGATAAGAGGTGAAAATTAGCACACAAGGTCAGTCGGTCACTATGTCATTGTAAATGGAAATGATTTTTTTTTTTTTAAAGATTTATTTATTTATTTATACAAGCACTGGGTACAGTCAGAAGCATGGGAGGGTGAGAGAATTCACCAGAGCCAGAGCGGGGAGCAGAGCAGGCAGAGGGACCGAAGTACACTGCTGGGGGGAGCAGCGGGCGGCAGGAGAGGTCTGGGCTGCATGTGGGACCCTCCTCCAGTGGCCGGGGAGCAGCCGGGGATCTAACCAGAGCTGCGGAGGCTGCAGGCAGCTTCGCAACCCAGTGCTCAACCGCTAGCGCCACCGGAGAGGCCCTGTAAATGGAAATGATTTTTCCAGTGATTGGTCTACCCATGATTCTTAACTTATCTCTGGAAACTTCCTACAAGGGCTTCAACAACTTGTTACCCTTTAAAGCTTTTTTACTGTGACTGTGCTTTCTAAGACTATAACCAGTGGCTGAAGCCAAAAGACTGTTACAGGTGGTGTCCCCTGAAGCGGGTTGGTGGTGAGGACAGATAGCCCCAGGGAAAAAGCTAAAAGTATCACATTTGGGGGTGGGGCAACTGATAAGAAATATAAGTGACTGCAGAAGGGGGCAGGGATTCAGTCTTTGGAATTCAAGGTTTTTGGATTTTCAGCTTTAGGGGTCAGTGGATTCTGGATTCTGGACACCACCACGATCTTCCAGAAGTCTGTTGCAGGCCTCTGAGGGTGGAGCCCTCCAGCAGCCAACCTTAGAGAGGAAAAGTTGAGAGGATTTACAATTAGCCGAGCGACTGCAACTGATCCTGGTTTTGCTGCAGTTACAGTCTGGCAGAGAATGCAAAGACCTGGAGCAGGGCACCTCGCTGAGCTGCGTGAGTGGGGTTGTTTATCGGGTTGTTCGGCTGCTGCAGCTGCTGTCTTGAGGGTCACTTGTCTGGTGCTGCACTGGCAGCTCCGGGAACGTATCTTGTTGCATCTTCTGTCGTCTTCGTGAATCAGAACCTGGCCTAGAATCTGGCTGCCATGCGCTCCCGGTTGGCAGAGGCAGGAAGATGCCATCTTGGACATGTGGCCTATTGTTTGGAGAGGAACTCGGGTCCTCAGTGTCAGGAAGATGCCGTTGTATCTGCTTTTGTTTAGGACTGGAAAACACTGGACACTGCTTCAGGGGAGGTAAAGGACATTTTTGGCCTCAGTAATCTTTATTTTCCCCTGTTTTTTTTTTTTTTTTAATAGAGGCATGTTTTATTTATTTATTTGTTTGTTTGTACATGCACTGGGTACAGTCAGAAGCACGGGAGGGTGAGAGAATTTGTAACAGGGTGGTCCCCAGGAAAGGGGGAGGTTCCCTGCCCCACCCAAGGAAGGGTGGAGCTGAGCAGGAAGAAGAGACTGAGGAAGGAAGGAAGCAGGATGGAGCCAGGAGACCTGGAGGAGGCACATGGAGCCTAGAGACACGTGAAGAAACTGTGCTTGTCTTTTGGTCGTGGACTAGGTGACACAGATGTGGGTGAGACCCGTGGGGAGGTGACAATGGCAGCTTTTATCTTGATGTTGATTTTGCTCTTTTCCTTCCGGGCTTGTCCGGTTGTTTGTGACCCTTTGCTGTGGGTCCCCACTGGAAGATGCTTTAGACTTGTGGCAGGCTTTGGGGCCTTGTTCTGGACCAATCCCATTTGGATGGACTTTTACCCACGAGGGGACGGGTAACTTTGGGTGCTTCATTTAGAAACTAGACTCTTTGCCTTACCTGTATTGTTTCCTAGTTTTATTAAAGTTCCTTCCCATTAAAGTCTCCTATGTTTTGTGTTGATGCAGCGGATGGCAGAACCCATTTAGAATAGGCAGGTTTGCGGGGTTTGGGCTGTCCCTCTCCCTGTCCTATAACAGATTCACCAGAGCCAGAGCGGGGAGCAGAGTAGGCAGACTGATGAAATACACTGCTGAGGGGAGCAGCGGGCAGCAGGAGAGGTCTGCGCTCCATGTGGGACCTTCCTCCGGTGGCCGGGGAGCAACCGGGGATCGAACCGGCGCTGCAGAGGTTGTCGGCAGCTTCGCAACCCAGCACTCAACCGCTGTGCCACCGGGGAGGCCCTCCCCTGGTTTGTTAATAAATCCCAATGTTGTTCCCTGAACCTGAGTAGTCTTGTAATTGTGTGTGCAGGTGAAGAACTCATACAGTGACCAGTAAACTATTTGGGCAGTGTCCTTGGAAGGTTTTAGTGCCCCTTGATGCCCTGTATCAAGACCACATTAGATATCTCATGACTTGCCCCCTTTTTATAAGCCATTATATTCTTCCCTGTACCTTCAATTTGTTTAGCATTACAATTTGACAGGGTTTCCTCCTTAAACTTTTGAAGATAGACTCCCAAATTATTCTAGCCACAACCTTTTAAATTATATATCTATTCCTGGATATTGGTTACTAAACCATCAGTCTCTGCCTTCAATAGGTTTATAATTTGGAATGGGAGAAAATAGTTCCTATTTATTGGGGTCTGATTATATTCTAGACACTTTACTACTTACCTCTAGTTATCTGAGTAGTGCACTCTTCCTTGTGCTGTGAAATATTAGATGTTTCAGTATGTTAATATGTGAACTTTCCTTGACCAAATAAACTTGAGAATGCTATTTAAAGTTAGAAGTTTCTTTAAGGCAGTCATACTCCATCTTTGATAAACAGTTTTCAAGAAATATATAGAGTAAATGTTGTTTGAATCATGGAACTCAAGTTCCATGTTCTTCCTTGATTCAACCTCTTGTTCCCCCAAACCAAGAAACATCAGCCATGTCTATTTTTTAAGAGTATGCTTTGGAAAAATTGGAATTAGTGTTATATGCTGCCTTTTGAGATTGAAATAGGTTTCATTACAAAAGAATTCTTCAAGGCAGGCTGTTTCCTCATTGCAGACACATAACCAGGTGAATTTGATATCTCCAACCAGGAACTTAATAAAGATTATGAAATAATTTGTTGACAGTAAATAAATACAGACGTTGTAACGAGAAATGTTTACACTTACATATAATGAACTTCAAAGGATTCCCAGTGGTTCTAGGAATAATCCCCAATGCCCTTTGCCAAGAATCTAGTAACACCCATTGTAACACAGAAATGATTTCTGTTTTGCTACTATCTTTATTCTGATCTGTGTGTCCCATGTGAGTTTCATCCCATATAATATAATCTGTCAGTTTCCTCTCCTAGAGCTTTGATTACAAAGGCAGTCTTTGATTCTGCAGTTACCCAAAAATGCAGACTTTAAGTATCAAGCTATTATGAGTAGTCTTTTACGAAAGATTATGCTTTCTGCTAACGTATTTGGCAAACCACTGCTGCCTATTTGCATTAATATATAAAAATGACTTTCTGGTGTTACAAATCTTAGTGCAACATATTGTGTTTGTGGGGCTTTATTTTTAATTTACTTTGGAAAATTTGCTTGGTCTCTAAATGTAAAATAAGGCCTCCTTGCCCCTACATGAAATAACCCACGTCATAAAAATGAAAAAAAAAAAAAAATCCCTTAACACCAGTAGTTCCTTCGTGTTTCTTAGATCCTTTCAGTCTCTCCATTCATTGAGCAAACCTGTAATGAAATTCTCAGATATGCTATACACAGAAGGAATCAAAAGAAATGACATTTTGGACCCAATACTATAGCTTCGGTTATGTGGTGTTTCTCTTTTTTCAGAAGGGGTTGCTATGTCACTTAAGAAAATAAATAATGAGGAATGCGGGAAGATGGCGGCAGAGTGAAGATGCTGGGCTTGCTTCCGCCAACCACGGACAACACAACTGATGCGAAGCAAAGCCAAAACCCCGGAGGGAAAAGCTGACTACCGCTGTGCACAGTAGAGCATCAAGTGCAGTGGAAAGGGGTAAGAAAAACTTTAAGTGAACTCTGTTTAGAGTAGTAACAGAATATTCTACAACATAAAATATACCTTCAAAAACTAGTGAAGGGGGGCCTTCCCGGTGGCGCAGCGGTTGAGCGCTGGGTTGTGAAGCTGCCCGCAGCCTCTGCAGCACCGGCTTGATCCCCGGCTGCTCCCCGGCCTCCGGAGGAAGGTCCCACATGGCGCGCAGACCTCTCCTACCGCCCGCTGCTCCCCTCAGCAGTGTCCTTCGGTCCTTCTGCCTGCTCTGCTCCCCGCTCTGGCTCTGGTGAATTCTCTCACCCTCTCGTGCTTCTGACTGTACCCAGTGCTTGTATAAATAAATAAATAAATCTTAAAACAAAAACAAAAACTAGTGAAGGCCCTGAGTTTAAGATGTGGGAGGAAAGGAAGGGGCAAGGAGAAAAGGAGAAAGAGCATAATTGACAGCGTCATTCAGATTCAAGATAAGGAATCTGAATTTTAATTCTCATTTTCCACAATGCCTTTTACATAAAAAGTATTGATTGGCCAGTGAGCTCTCAAAAATACAAATGATCATTCTTGTTAGACTCATAAAGAGATGTTGTTAGCATTAGTTACCTGGTTATTAAACTAGGTAGGTGAGTACTAGAGTTCTTTTACATTTCACAAGAATTACAGAAGTTGGGCCTCCCTGGAAGCTGCCCGCAGCCTCTGCAGAGCTGGTTCGATCCCCGGCTGCTCCCCGGCCGCAGGCTGCTCCCCGGCCGCAGGGCGAGGGTCCCACATGGCGCGCAGACCTCTCCTGCCGCCCGCTGCTCCCCTCAGCAGTGTACTTCGGTCCTTCTGCCTGCTCTGCTCCTGCTCTGGCTCTGGTGAATTCTCTCACCCTCCCGCGCTTCTGACTGTACCCAGTGCATGTATAAAACAAAACAAGCAAATAAATAAATAAATAAATAAACATGCCTCTATTAAAAAAAAAGAATTGGAGAAATATTTTAAAAAAACCAAAAAACCTACCTATAACCTCTGCATAGGGGGAAAAAAATAGTAAATGGTTACAGGTAGTGAAAATTGATAGGTTGACAAGAAAAGATGTGCTGTAAAAACTTAAATCTCAATATTTAAACCTAAATTTTATGTTAGGTGGACTCTTGTATTCATACAATTATATTAATGGAAAATAGCATATTAAGAATAAGAACATTTGTATGAGTGACTTTTTTTTCTCAGTGAGCATTAGTTTGAAGTAATTTACTAGGCAGACTGTATTTGCTAGCATAAATAAGGATATGTGTTTTGGATTTTGAGAGATATTGACTATTTGCTTTCCCATCAATGTTGTGTGGCAATTTGCACTACCACTGGCAGGAATAAAAGTTCCTCTCCCTAATACTTGCCAACACATCACATTTTTTTGTCAATCTGATGGATGAAAAATGGTATCGCATTATAGTTTTAAGTTGCTTTTAATGAACACCTTTTCATATATTTAAGAGTCATTTTATTACCTTTTCTATTAATTTTTGTTCTCATTTTCTTGTGTGAAGAATACCTTGGTAAGGATTTTCTATCCAACTAATGTCATTGTCATTATTCTACACTCAGAGCCAACAGTAACAAGAAATATAGAATTTATAGAAACAGGTGATTTTTTTTTTTTTTAACAAGGAAGCACCAGAGATTGAAATTCAACATATGGATAATTTACATTTTTATTGCAAGTTTTTTTTTTTTTAACTCAGTTTAAATAAATGTATTATATTTCACAGTTCTTTCTTTTTCCTTTTTATAATATGGGGAACCAGGGCACTTTATTTCTAGCTCTGATTTTGTCACAAACCATATGTGTCAGGGGCAATTAATTTGCCCTTCACAAGTTTCATTCCTATAAAGTTAAGAGGGTGGGACCAAATCATTTCGAAGGGGTCGCCTCTGGCTCTATGCTCACAGATATTTCTTTTTGAGTAGCACATAATAATTATGTATTATCTAAATAATTCAGAATTATTTTAGTATTGTATCTACTGTAAAATATTTTAAAGGAGGGTCCAACATTTTATGATTTTACTTTTTATTATGCTCTAATGGCAGATAAATAAAATTGTTTTGCTTTTCTTTCTTCTTTTCATAGTTTGTAATATTGATTTTTTTTCTCTTTTGCTCTGAATGAAGAGTGGGCCAAAGGACAATGTAATTATGAAGCTAGTAATAGAAAATAATGCACCCAAAGAATTACAGTGATATTTATGACATTATGCCTCTTTTATAAACATTCACTAAAAACCTAAAGTAGTCCCATGAAGCAGGCTTCAGCATAAATATTATGCAACAATGTGCAGAAGTTGAGATAAAATGAGATTACTTAAAGTCAAATCTATATGAACCTCAGTGGTGTGAGGCTTTGCCAGGAGTTGGACACGGTTCTCTCTTTGTTTCATTTACTACTGCTACTTGTGTTATGGTGTGCCTACTATGTACCAGGGGCAGGACCCAGGATTCAGGGATACAATTATAATTAACATTTGGTTCTTTTCCCTACAGAGGCATTGTTTTCTTTTTCTTTTTCTTTTTTTTTTTTATTTTTTTGCGGGACTCTCGTCGGTGGCTGGGGATTGAACTGATGCTGCAGAGGCTGCGGGCAGCCTCGCAACCCAGCGCTCCACCGCTGCGCCACCAGGGGAGGCCCAGAGGCATTGTTTTCACAGCTCAATTGAGTTATAATTGAACTTATTGCAAACTACATATATCTAACATGTACAATCCAGATAAGTTTTGACATGATTTGACACCCAGGAAATCACACCATCACTGCAATCAGTATAATGAACATAATTATCATTCCCTCAAATATCCTTGTGCTCCTTAACCAAGCCCTCCTTTTCCTCCTTCTCTCTTCTTCTTGCCCATAAAATCACAAGTTGTATTACAACAGTAAATTTTATTTCTTTAAAAAAAGATTTATTTATTTATGCATACAAGAGCTGGGGCGTGGGGGGTGGGGTGGGTGAGGATTCACCAGGGACAGAGCAGGGAACAGAACACGCAGACTGACCTAAGTACACTGCTGAGGGGAGCAGCGGGCGAGTCAGGAGAGATCTGCTGCGCCATGTGGGTTGCTCCCTGGCTGGGGATCAAACTCGTGCTGCAGTGGCTGCAGACAGCTTCATAGGTTGCGTCTTAACCTCCTGTGCCACCAGGGAGGCCCTACAACAGTAAATTTCATATTTTTAAGACACACATATATATATATATATATATATATATATATATATATATGGCTTTAAAGTATATTTTGTTTATTTCATTTGGGATAAATACTTTCAGAATTATTCATATTTTTGTATTAGTAGTTATTCCTTTTTATGGCTGAAGAGCATTCAATTGTAAAAATATACCCCAACTCATTTATCCATTTATTTGTTGATAGACATTGGGATGGCTTCCAGTTTAGGGCCTCCCCTGGTGGCGCAGCGGTTGAGCGCTGGGCTGTGAAGCTGCCTGCAGCCTCTGCAGTGCCGGTTCGATCCCCGGCTGCTCCCCGGCCACCAGAGGGAGGGTCCCACATGGCGCAAACCTCTTCTGCCGCCCGTTGCTCCCCTCAGCAGTGTACTTTGGTCCTTCTGCCTGCTCTGCTCCCCGCTCTGGCTCTGGTGAATTCTCTCACCCACCCGCGCTTCTGACTATACCCAGTGCTTGTATAAATAAAAAAAAAAAAAAAAAGAATGAGAGCTCATTAAATAAAATAAAAAAATAAATAAATAAAGTCTCTATGACTCTTAGTGTTCAGGTCTTATGTAGACATAGCTTTCATTTTTCTTGGGTAAATGCTTAGGTATGGAATAGCTGGGTCATATGGTATGTGTGTTAACCTTGATTAAAAAACCTGCCAAACTGTTTTTCAAAGTGATTGTACCATTTTACTTCCTTACCACCAGTGTAGAGGGTTCTTACTCACTTTACATCTTTGTGAACATTTGGTATTTGTCAGTTTTTTAAGTTTTAGAAAATTTAGTAAGTATGTAATATTATCTGATGGTTTTAAGTTGCATTTCCTAATTATTAACGATGATGAACTTCTTTTTTTGTGCATATTTGCCATCTTTCTATGATCATTGGTCAAATATTTGTTCAAATATTTTGTTATATTTTTTAATCGAGGCGTTTTCTTCTTATTAAATTTTGAGAGTCCCTTATAAGATATGTAATTTACAAATATTTTCTCCACTTGGTTTGCTTTTCATTCTTCTACGAGATCATTTTAATTCTACTGAGAAAGGACATTTATTCCATCACGGGTAGCTCAGAGAAATGATTACTGAGCTGAGAACTGAAGAAAGAATCACAAGTTCTAAGGTTAAAAGAAAATGTGTCTGTTTGTGTATAATAAAATATGAAATGTTGTGCAAATTTTGGCATGAATTTGTTTATCAGATTGTTTTATTCCAGGACAGGAAAGAATCTAAATAATAAGAAAAATTGGAGCACTCTAGGAAAGAAGGGCTACTGGAAGGAGGGTGAGCTATTTGTGGAAAGTGTAAACTCCAGGCAAGGGGGTTGACAGAAGTCTCCCACAGTTCATTTCTCATTTCTCCTGATTCAGAGTGGCAAGTGCCAAGTAATTGACAGCTGGAAGCTAAATACGTAGATCTCATAGAAACTTGGCAATTTCATCTTGAAAGTTAAGGGAGGATGGATGGATGGATGGATGGATAGATAAATAGATAGATAGATAGATAGATAGATAGATAGATAGATAGGTCAGGTGATTTGCTTTGGAGTAACTGGTAACTGACTTTTTAGCTAAGCCAGAATGAAGGAGACCAGTAAGATTCATTGGCAGTTTCTAACTCCATTGCTCAAAATTACAAATAGTATCTGTAGGCCAATGTAAATCAAGCTGAAATCCTGAGCAAAGAAGATGAAGAATATAATTTCCATCTCAGGGCCTCCCCGGTGGCGCAGCGGTTGAGCGCTGGGTTGCGAAGCTGCCCGCGGCCTCTGCAGCGCCGGTTCGATCCCCGGCTGCTCCCCGGCCACTGGAGGAGGGTCCCACATGGCGCGCAGACCTCTCCTGCCGCCCGCTGCTCCCCTCAGCAGTGTACTTCGGTCCTTCTGCCTGTTCTGCTCCCCGCTCTGGTGAATTCTCTCACCCTACCGCACTTCTGACTGTACCCAGTGCATGTATAAACAAACAAACAAACAAACAAATAAAAAAAAACATAAAAAAAATAAAATAATTTCCATCTCAGTAAGTTTAATTATCCTGATCTGCCCACGGCTACTTGCTCTTGCTGTCAGATCTGGAGAAAGGATCCAGTTCCTCCTAAAGAAGGAGCAGGAATTCTGGTTGTTTAGTCACCATTTGTTTACATAAAGATCAGTGCACCCAGAAATACCCTATGTCTCTGAATCTCCTAACTAAAGCCATTGCTACAGTGATGGCTTTCAAACTGAAATATAGTTTTCAGCAAGTCACTAGTTATTATTTAGGCATTCCTTTACGGCAATAAATAGTATATATTTCTGAATATATATGTTTTGAACTCAGATGATGGATATATATAAATGCTTGATTTATTACAATAGTTTGTGAAAGCAGGTAACCATTAAAACACCCAATAAAGTAAATGTTTTAATATTTAACTGCACATTTAACTCATTACTATTTCACATAGACCTGAGGCGTTGTCTTCATTAATTCATTCAATAAATATTTATTAAAATCATGCTAGGGCTATTCCATGTGCTAGAGATAAAGAGAGTACAGCAGACAAAACTCCCTGTCCACATGCACTTACAAGTGGTGTGGAGGTGCAGGAGGAACTTGGTCATGAGAGTGCTGCTGCAGATTTCTGCTGCAGGTGCACAATTGAACACCAACTCCTTGCTTGTGTTCCCCTCCCTTCCTCCTTTTCTTTAAATATTAATATAGTCCCTCTTACCACTAGGGAGTTGAGGTTTCTGTGATAAACAATTTTTGCTTACATTTGGGAACAGACAACTAAATGAGTCGACATAGTACATGATATTCAGATCTAAACTAGAGGCATGAGTAAAGTATTATGAAAGCCTTCAAGAGGAAGCAATTAACTGTGTTTGGGATAATTAGGGAAGTCTTCACAATGAAGGTAATATAGAGCTGAATTTTGAACAGTTTGGAGAACTTATTGGGAGGAAAGGAAAGACTGAATATAGCTTCCTTAAAATGAAACTTCCTGGCAAGTTCAGGAGACAATGAGTGTGGATTTCCATGTGGCAGGTACTGTGGAAGAGAGTGGAGACTTAGAAAACAAGCCATTATTAAATGAAACTGTTGTTTTTAATATTTTTATTGTGATAGTGCATTATGGTTATGTAATTTTAAATGAGTCTTTATCTTTAAGAGATTTACACTGAAATGTTACAGATAAAATGATATAGTGTTGTTTGTTTTTTTTCAAAGTTACTTGTTGGGGAGAGCAAAAGGGTAAGGTATAAATGCTAGATCAAGCATAAACTGATAATTTGTGAATCTGGGTGATGAGTCCCAGGGACTTGTTAGACTATTTTTCATAATGAACAGTAAAAACATGACAATAAAGTCTGATTCCTAACTTTGAAAAGCTCCTGGACTTTTGGTAAGGGAAATGTAAAGAAATAATATTAACACGTTGAGGGAAATCACAACGTAGTGAGAAAGATTATATGACTGTATATTACTATACATGTGTGATGTTAGAATAAAATCACAGTTATCTAAAATCAAAATTAACTGTAACTTTTCCTACAATGTAGAAGGTAAGATAGAATTCATTTCAGAGGGTAAATAGATTCATATACAGCTTTTTTGTATTTAGAGTCTGGAGAGGAGAGAAAAGTTAGATCCAAACAAAATGTCTTATGTTGAACAGAGCATATGGAACTGTCTTTGGATAGATGAAGAAAAGTCCAGAGATGATATTTTTGAAATGCTGGTGTTTATAAAGAAGGAGCGAGAAAGCTGAGCAAAATGAGAGGATGCATTGCTCAAGGCTTGTTGACATTATACTGAGCTGGTTATGTGCATATATAACCTCACACATTGTCCCTAGACCTTCACAAAAGGTTACCAAAGAAAGGGTTTTCCTGATTTTCTTTTCCTATTTCCCTTTTGCAGAAAACAAGGAAATAAACTTGAGTTCCACATGATAGGGCACCTCAGTCATGGGAGTGTTTCTTTTTCGTCGTTGTTGTGGGTACATGATTTCCTCATATATTTTGGATATTAATCCCATCAGAAATGTGAGTTATGAATCTTCTTGTGCTAAGTCTAAAAGATGAGCAAAGTTGCAGAGTTAAAAAATGTCTCATGGGGCCTCCCCGGGGGCGCAGCGGTTGAGCGCTGGGTTGCGAAGCTGCCCGCAGCCTCTGCAGCGCCGGTTCGATCCCCTGCTGCTCCCCGGCCACCGGAGGAGGGTCCCACATGGCGCACAGACCTCTTCTGCCGCCCGCTGCTCCCCTCAGCAGTGTACTTCGGTCCTTCTGCCTGCTCTGCTCCCCGCTCTGGCTCTGGTGAATTCTCTCACCCTCCCGCGCTTCTGACTGTACCCAGTGCATGTATAAACAAACAAGCAAACAAACAAATAAATAAATAAAACATGCCTCTATTAAAAAAAAAATTCAAAAAAAAATGTTTCATGAACTGACACTGAGTATCACAGGTGTACCCTGCGGCATATCAGTAGGGAAATAATCTCATCTTTTGTTCCTTTTCCTTACAGAGGCAGGTGAAGGAGACATGATGGTCTACTCGTAAGCAGAGCACATAGAGGAGCCTTTGATTATGAAAAGGTAGCTTTCAGTTAGGGTGGACAACCTTGGTGGCACAAAGGCAGAGGTATTGCCACAATGATCAGGAAAGATAAATGAAAGCAATAAGCAGAAATGAGCTCAAGTTGGTAGAAACAAGCTGAGAGACTATTCTGAAGACCAGGTAAGTGTAATATTCAATTTTAGGCTATTCATTGCATTGATAAGAACTTCAGCCCTTTTCGCCTGAACCTTTGACAAAGTCTACAGTATAGGAAATGCCTTTTAATCCAAATCAAGAAGTGACTGAATTGCACACTTAATGTGGAGCAGAAGGAAGAATTGTATGAGGTAATGTTGAGTTTCTCCTAATAACAGGAAATGGAGAGTAAAATGATCATGAAAAAATGAGTCTTGGGAAACAAATAAGTCAGAAAGATATGGCATGGTGGAGGGGGTGAAATATCATCAAAGCTGAAATTGGCTTATGAATTATGAAAGGGAGAGAATATAAAATGTTTTAGTAATGAATACTTTAATGAAATTGGCTTATCTATTTATTTAATTACCTGTGCCATATCGAATATTAAAATACACATATCTAGGAAAATAAGGACCCTGTAGACAGGACAGGTTCTGTGACAATGTTGTAAAAACAAGATGACAAAAACAGACACTCAGTCTCTCTCTCCATGGGCCATTAATCACCCCTTATGCCAGTCTGGTATACACCAAGGAATTGAGTGCAGGGGCTCACTGTGGCCTTTGCAGGCAATTTGCCATTTTTTGCTTAGAAAATTACTTGGTTTATGTGCTTAATTTGCTTTTAAATAAAATGAAATTAATAGGACACATCTTCATGGACTTGGATTCTCAATTAACTGCTTTCGTGATGCTAACTCGGTAATTTAGCTTTGTATATACCTGGATTCAAACTTGTTCTAGGGTCTAAACTGTGGAGGTCAAATAAAATTATCTGAGCTCATTTCTTAGGTGATCTTGCCAATAAAGTGTAAATTTTACTGGCAGGCAAACCAAATTCTAACCATTATCAATAGATTTCAATGAATCAATATGGGCAGTTTGGCTCAGGAATAGCAAGAAGATTTATTTTTCGTATAATTTTAATTCCAGTTACTCTATTCTTAACAGATAGCCTGGTATTAAATCCTGGAACTCTAAAGGAAGATCAAATACACAGATCTGTCTAGAGTGATTGATGCAGCAAACATACACACATTGTATAAGGAAGCTGGAATCTAAGGACATTAATTAAATTGGCTGAGATACTGAAATATGATCCCTGGAGGAGATTGATCATATAACTCCCAGTACTCCAATCTTTGTTGCTAAATCAACACATCCTGCTTGGATTGGAGCCTGGTTGAAATGGATCGCACCCTGCTCCTGCTTTATGATACTTATTGATTTGAGTCATAGCATAAGTGCTTTGGGGAAAATAGCCCATGTAGGGAATTGGGTTAAGTGTCTAATGAGTTCACAGAACATGTTTGTCAGAATTTTTGCAGCATGCTTTATGGAATAATTTTGCCTTCATACACATTTTGTTTTTCCCTCTGGTTTGCTTCAATCCTGGATTTCTATTAGATTAGAATGTTTATTTTCCTTATCTGGCATATTATTTTATATTTTAATAAAGAATTATATTTTGATCTCAGGGTGGGGTTAGACTATGCTTTTTCTTTTCTTTTCAGTAATTTAGCTTTTGCTTACACCATTTTCATAATCTACTTATCTCAAGGTTTTGACAGATATTGCTATAAATTTTTGAGATATTGGATATTTGACTATATTTTGACTATATCTACTCTATAGATTTGCAGTTTTAGTGAAACTTAAGTTTATATGTTCATTGAAGTGCAACACATCTAAGGTTCATGCTACGTTGGTGCGTAATGGCACACTTACAAACACATTCTTTCATTGTCAGATTTTTCTTGTCAAGTCATATATGTTACTTCTAGATTCTTGGGAGGATAGGAAAATATGACTTCACATTCTCAAAATATTTCAATATATAAGAGGGGAGAATAGAAAGTTTACAAATGAATGCGTTGTAAAGGATGCTAAATGAATAGCAAAAATACATGTGAAAGCAATTTTATTCTTGCTGGTGTCAGGGAGGTTGTTGGGTCTAAAACATAGTTGGTGACTGTGAACTTCTCATTCCCTGGTGGGCCCCCCTTGTACTCCACTGGTTAGATGCCCATGTATGATGCACAACCTTCACAACTTGCACAACAGTGCCCTATAGTGTTGGCTTGGAATGATTAACGATGGCTTTATGTAAATAGCAGTTTTTAACTGAACAAAAGAAATAGAAGCATCATGTTACATGACTTTGTACCATAAGGAAATAGTAATTAAAACTATATGGTGTGGACATAAAAAATAGATGCATGAATCAATGAAACAGAGTTGAAAGCCCAGAAATATCTCATATATATAATTCATATTCATATATATTCAAATTCATAATCATATATATGAATGTGACATTTCTGCTAAATTGTATAAAATTTTTTTGCTAAAATAGTTATGTAGGTTTTGCAAATTAAGTATCAATAATCTTAGGTAAGAACTACCAGGGTAAACATGAATAGGTTAAGTACAGATTTATCTCACCTGGGTAATTTTCAAAGTGTTACTATATTTTATATTATTATTTATATATATAATAGTTTATATAATATAATGTTTTCATAGCTTTCTCCTTTTTAACTTTCTGAGGTGGTAATTAATAACACACCTGATTTCTTAAAAGTTGAAAAGACTAGTTTCTGTCTCTTCAATGATTATCATTATACACCATTGAATTTTAATTCCTTTTAATTGGTTGGTCACACCAATTGGTTGGTCCTGACTTCTAATTTTGATTTTATGTAAAATATTATTTCAAAATAAAAATTGATACATTTAATTTTTTAAAAGATTTGTTTATTTATGCATACAAGAACTGGGGTACAGGTCGGTACAGGTTGGAGGTGCGAAGGTGAGAGGATTCACCAGAGACAGAGTGGGGAACAGAACAGGCAGACAAACTGAAATACACTGCTGAGGGGAGCAGTGGGTGAGACAGGAGAAGTCTGCTGCGCCATGTGTGTTGCTCCCTTTCAAGGCCGGCTTTTGAATTTGTGCTGCAGAGGCTGTGGACAGCTTCACAGAGCTGCATCTTAACCTCTTGCACCACCAGGGAGGCCCTGTTACATTTAATTTTAATTACAGGGCCTCCCTGGTGGTGCAAGGAGTTAAGATGCAACCTATGAAGCTATCTGCAGCCACTGCAGCACGAGTTCAATCACATGGTGCAGCAGACCTCTTCTGACTCGCCCGCTGCTCCCCTCAGCAGTGTACTTCGTCAGTCTGTCTGTTCTGCTCCCCACTCTGTCTCTGGTGAATCCTCTCACCCCCCACACCTCTGGCTTGTACCCCAGTTCTTGTATGAATACATAAATAAATCTTTAAAAAAATTTAATTACAACTAATGGAAGAAAAAGCTGAGTTGAAAATATCGAACTTAAATGTATCTTCACTAGAAGAGATATTATTTCCCCAAATATCTTCTATAGTAAAGGAAAAATACTTATGAAGACTGTTAGACATGGATCCTATGGATAGAAATGCAGGTGTCTTTCAGGAAGAAGTAGAAGTGGGAGTTTAATACTGGTTTCAAGAGGGCTGTGAAGTGTGCGTTCACCTTTGAGGCTGTCTCATGTACACATATATGCAGTCATTCATCGCTTAACTGCATTTCTGTTAACAAAAGGCTGCATGTATGCTAGTGGTCAGAACAGGCTAGGTGTGTTTAGGCTATACTGTCTAAGTTTGTGTGATCACATACACATTGTGTTTGCACAATGACAAAATCTCGTAGAGTTGCATTTTTTTAGAATGTGTCCCTGTTGTGAAGCAACTTTTCACTTGCTGAGCAGTTTTTCATTGTATGGCTGTGCCAGAAATTTTTCTTTTTTTCCCCAAAGATTTATTTATTTATTGCATAAAAGAACTGGAGTACAGTCCAGGGGTGTGTGTGTGGGGGGAGAGGATTCATCAGAGACAGAGCAGGGAACAGAACAGGCAAATTGAAATACACTGCTGAGGGGAGCAGCTGGTGAGTCAGGAGAGGTCTGCTGTGCCACATGGGTCTCTCCCTGGCCAGGGATTGAACTCGGGCTGCAGAGGCTGCAGATAGCTTCATAGGTTGCGTCTTAACCACTTGCGCCACCAGGGAGGCCCCTGTGCCAGAATTTTTTCAATCATTTGCCATTTAAGGACATCTGACATTCTAGCCTTGCTATTACAAATGAAATAAATGGTTAAGGACATGTGCGTGTAGAATTTTCATCGAACATAAAATTTCATTTTTTCCTTTGTTTAAATTCTAAAATATTAAAAAAATTAGTTTCCCTTGAAATTTTCTTACCACTGAAGCTATTTTTATTCACAACAGTTTTGACATCACACATGGATTTTTTTCCTCATGGACAGTTGTGGACATGAATGTGATAATTTATATAAAGTCCTGAGCAATCCATAGTGAAATAAGCCAGAAGGAAAAAGAAAAATATTGGATGGTTTCACTTATAAGAGGAATGTAGGGGAACCAAATAAGGGACCAGGAAAAAATAATTATAATAAATTAAAAAACAAAATTAACAGGCAGCTATTAATCAGAGACACTGCAGGGGAGGGAGAGGATGAGGGATCAATACAGGGGAGGGAATGTGTTCTTACACAAGGGACTATGGTGATGGTGCACAGGTGAATTGGTGGTGGGAATTTTACAAGGACTAAACCTGAGCAGAGAAAGCATGCATTGCACAAAAAGGAAGAATGATGTAAAATATATATAACATGAAATGAAATTAAATTAAAAAAAAGTACTGAGCAATCCAGACACAATAAAAATTCTCAAGAGAAACTCTCTTTCGCTGACAAAAACCGGAGCTCTCTCATGATTCATGGTGACTTCCAGCTCAGCCCTTCTCTGAAGTAGTGCAGACGACCCAGAAATAGAAGCAACAGACATCGGAATGATAGAGGGTGCTAGCTTTAGTTTCGTAAGTTTGTTCCAGATTCACTTTGGACGAGAAGGATTAGGAAGGCCTTAAATATTTCACATTGAGTTAAACTGTGGAAATGGAAGTACTATGTTAATGAGGTAAATAGAAGTTGTTAATTCATTCTTTTCAGACTCTTCTTGGCTATTCTGCTCCTCCTGTTTCCAGGGGCTCTCCAGCAAGTCTAGGGTGGACCTTCCTCCACCCTCTACTCTTGCCTGTGGGTCCCTGATGGAGGGGCTGGGTAGGGGAAGGCTCTGGATCAACAGCGATGTCTCCATGACCCAGTTGAACAGAGGTGGGCAGTTGTTCTTCTGTCCCGAGAACACTAGCTCATGCTGAACAAGTTGTCGAAGTGACTCCCCAAGTTGGTGGGGGCTCTGTCCAGTGGGTGCAGCCTCTGGCAGTAATGACATCGGAGGCCAGAGGGGACACTTGCCCTTAATATGTGGGGCCCCATCAGATTGGCCCGGAGATTTTTTTATTTTTCCTCTGAACATGTACATAATAGTCACCTTTGATTCGTTAAAGCCTCTGGAGAGCTTGATACTCTATATTTTTGGTACCTTGTCCAAAATGTATGACTTTTTTTCCCACTCTGAATGGAGGATGTGACTAAAAAGTGAAGATTAAGACTTTGTGTGTGTATGTAGAAGAACTGGGATATAAGCCAGAGGTGTGGGGGGTGAGAGGGCTCACCAGAGACCAAGTGGGGTGAAGAACAAGCAGATTTACTGAAATATACTGCTGAGGGGAGCAGTGGGAGAGACAGGAGCGGTCTGCTGCGCCATATATGGGTTAGACCCCTAGCCCAGGATCAGACTCAGGCTGTTGCAGTAATAGTGCTGTAACAACCCCTATGCCACTAAGGAGGCCCAGATTAAGGTTTTTTTTTTTTTTTAAGATTTATTTATTTATTTATACAAGCACTGGGTACAGTCAGAAGCGCGGGAGGGTGAGGGAATTCACCAGAGCCAGAGCAGGGAGCAGACCAGGCAGAAGGACCGAAGTACACTGCTGAGGGGAGCAGCGGGCGGCAGGAGAGGTCTGCGCGCCATGTGGGACCCTCCTCCGGTAGCCGGGGATCAAACCGGCGCCTCAGAGGCTGCGGGCAGCTTCGGAACCCAGCGCTCAACCGCTGCGCCACCGGGGAGGCCCCAGATTAAGGGTTTTTAAAGAAAAGTTACAAACAACGTTTCAGGGATATACATTTCGAAAAGAGAGCTTAGGTCTTCAGCTTATCCTGTTTTTTTTTTTTTTTTTTCCAAAGAGTTATTTATTTATACAAGAACTGGGCTAAAATCAGAGGCATGGGAAGGTGAGAAAATTCACCAGAGACCGAGCAGGGAGCAGAATGGACAGATGGACTAAAGATACTGCTGAGTGAAGCAGCAGGTGAGGCAGGAGAGGCCTGCCACGCCATTTGGGTCTCTCTCTGGCCGGGAATTGAACCCGCACTGCAGAGGCTGCGGACATCCCCAGTGCAGTGCTCAACCCGCTGTGCCACCGGGGAGACCTTATCCTGTTTCTCACAAACAAAACACTGGCT